TGTGGGGAATAAAAATGAGTGTTATCAAAGCTCCTCTGCATATGGTGCACTTATGTTCACCATTAGTTTCAGGACGTGTTAAAGTAGCAGTGCGTCCAAGATTACCTATTGAAGGAGTTTCCTTCATCCTTGGTAATGATTTAGCTGGTGGAAAAGTGTTTCCGGCACCAGAAGTTGTTGATGTCCCAGTTTTGCTTACTTCTGTGACTGACTCAGCTGCCACTTTGAATGTGTTTCCTGCATGTGCAGTTACACGTGCGCAAGCTCGAAAAATGGGTGATGTCTTAGATTTATCTGGGTCTTTTATGGCTACACTTGATGAAGATGGCTTTGATTTAAGTGACTCTGTAAAAAGGTCAAAAGGTGACACTCCTGAACTTATTCCCAAAGATGAAACTTTGAGTTTGAACATTACTAGGGAAATGTTGATTAAAGCACAGCAGAATGATCCATCACTGAGTTCTTGTTTTTCTATTGCAGATAAGAGCGAATCTAAAGCACCGGTGACCTATTTTGTTGAAAATGGTGTGCTGATGAGGTCTTGGTCTCCAGATTCAGGTGATCTGCAAAGAATAAATCAGGTGGTTGTGCCAAAGGATTACAGGTATCAGATTCTGAGTCTCCCACATGATGCCAGCTTGGCTGGACATCTGGGTGTTAAGAAAACTTATCATCGTGTGTTGCGTAATTTTTTTTGGCCTAAGTTAAAGTCAGATGTGGTGAATTATTGTAGATCATGTCATACATGCCAGTTAGTGGGAAAGCCAAATAAGCCGATTTAACCAGCCCCTCTTCATCCCATTCCAGTGCTTGGTGAACCATTTGAGCGAGTTTTATTGGATTGTGTGGGGCCTTTGCCAAAAACTAAGTCAGGTTATCAGTACATCTTAACAATAATGTGTGCTGCCACTCGTTTCCCAGAAGCTATTCCATTACGCACATTAAAGGCGAAGAACATTGTGAAAGCTCTCATAACTTTCTTCTCAACTTTTGGCCTACCAAAAGTTGTTCAGACAGATCAAGGGACACATTTCATGTCAAAGGTGTTTGCCCAAGTTTTGAAGGAAATGAAAATTAAGTATCAAACCTCCAGCCCTTATCATACAGAGTCACAGGGTGCGCTGGAGAGGTTTCATCAAACCTTAAAAACAATGTTGCGCAAGTACTGCCTTGAATCTGGTAGAAGTTGGGATGAGGGTCTTCCACTTCTATTATTTGCCATTAGAGAAACGATTCAGGAATCCCTTGGATTCAGTCCAGCAGATTTAGTATTTGGACACACTGTTCGTGGTCTGCTCCAACTTGTTAAGGAAAAATGGTTGTCGGAGTCATGTCAAACTGAACATAATGTGTTGGACTACGTTAGTAGTTTTAGAAACCGTCTATTTCATGTATGTCAGTTGGCCCAAGAAAACTTAGCAGAAGCTCAGAAGAAAATGAAAGCTCGATATGATAAAAAAGCTGTCAGAAGAACTTTCACTCCAGGTGACAAAGTTCTGGTGCTACTTCCTTTGAGTGGTTCGAGTCTTCGTGCTCGATTTTCAGGACCATATGAGCTAGAAAGAAAAATTAATGAGACAAACTATGTGATTAAGACTCCTGATCGAAAACGAAAAACAAGAGTTTGTCATGTTAACATGCTCAAACATTACATTTCATGTTGCAGATAAAAACTCTTCCGTTGCTTCTGCTTTAGTTTGTTCTTCATCCCCACCATATCATTTAGCAGATGATAATTTGAGGGAGAACACTGGTTGCATGCCTATGGCTCGCTTGCGAAATTCGTAAGTGTTGGCAAATTTGGAATCTTTCCTATCTCATCTATCACAGCCTGGCCAAAAGGATATAATCGGCCTGATAGAAGCTAACTTGTTGCTTTTCTCAGACCATCCACACCAAACATCCGTGCTTTGCCATGATATTGAGGTAGAGGTTGAGAAGCCAATTAAACAACATGCATATAGAGTAAATCCAACAAAGCGTGTTTTAATACAACAAGAAGTAGCTTATCTGATTGAGCATGGTTTAGCCATATCCAGTAACAGCGCATGGAGTTCGCCCTGTATTCTAGTTCCGAAACCAGACAACACGGCTAGATTTTGTACTGATTATAGAAGGGTTAATGCTGTCACTAAACCCGATTCTTTTCCACTTCCAAGGATGGAAGATTGCATTGATCGCGTCGGCTCTGCTAAATTTGTAACAAAGTTGGATCTGTTAAAAGGTTACTGGCAAGTTCCGTTAACACCGAGAGCTTCTGAAATTTCTGCGTTTGTGACTCCTGATAATTTCCTGCAATATACCGTTATGCCTTTCGGGTTGCGTAACGCACCTGCTACGTTCCAACGGTTAATGAAAAAGGTATTGTTTGGAGTGAAAAACTGTGAAGCATATTTGGATGATGTAGTCATTTATTCGGCTACTTGGTCAGAACATCTGGACACTCTTTCAGAAGTGTTCAGTCGTTTTCGTGATGCTTCTCTTACCTTGAACCTGTCAAAATGCGAGTTTGGAAAAGCTACAATCACGTATTTAGGAAAGCAGGTTGGTCAAGGACAAGTGCGGCCTATTGCTGCTAAAGTGCAAGCAATAATTGATTTCCCTATTCCGCAGAGCAAAAGAGACTTGCGGCGATTTTTGGGATTGTGTGGTTTTTATCGTGGGTTTTGTAAAAAATTTTCAGATGTGGTTAGTCCACTGACTGAACTTGTTAGCCCACTGAAGTCATTTGTTTGGTCTTCTTGTTGTCAGGTTGCGTTCGACTCTGCCAAAGCACTGCTGTGCAGTGAACCAGTGCTGGCTGCGCCTAATTTTGAGCGTCCTTTTAAACTTGACGTTGATGCAAGTTTGTGTGGTGCTGGAGCTGTGCTTCTACAAGAGGATGAGAAGGGCATAGAACATCCTGTCTGCTACTTCTCGAAAAAGTTTAATAAGCATCAGGTTCATTACAGCACAATTGAGAAGGAAGCTCTTGCTTTGTTGTTGGCTTTACAGCACTTCGAAGTGTATATTGGTTCTAGCGCACAACCCGTACAGGTATTCACTGACCATAACCCACTCGTGTTCGTCTCCCAAATGCGAAACTCCAACCATCGGCTGATGCGATGGTCTCTGTTGCTGCAAGACTTTAACTTGCAGATTAGTTATAAAAAGGGGAAGGATAACATCCTAGCTGATGCTTTGTCTACAAGTTTTAACTAATGTGAATTAAACACTCAGGGGTGTGTTTAATTTTTTGTGAATGGGGGTGTTACAGCTGGTGATAATTTGTGTGCAAATGTAAGTGTGCAGGTGCCAGTTGCTGATTGGTTCCAGGACAATGACATCATGACATCCCATTGGTGGTTTCCTGGAAGTGACAACTATAAAAAGGCTGCTGATGTGGACTTCCTGGTTCCGTCCTCCACTCTTCCCAACTGGCCACACTGTTAACACCTGATTATTCTGGAGCTTGTAAGAGTGAGCTGCCATTTCTGTTGCTTAAGTTTTCTCCTGTTTTTCTTAGTTAGGGAGGTAAGGTGACTGTCATTTGTTTACTTATACTGCAGTAGGTAAGTTGGTTCATTTCTTTGTTTTAGACAGTTGCCTTTTGTTTGTTATTTTTGGCATATAGCTCTCTCTGAAGTCATTTGCTCCACTTATGTTGTAACTTTAGAATTATTTTCCTTTTTGTAAATAAATCACTTTCTAAAGATGTGCAACTTTGTATGTGTGAGCTACTTGGGATGGGAAGAGGATGGATCCACTCTTTAATGTGTTATGGTCTGGCAACCCTAGACGGGTCGTAACAATGGCTTAATGAGAGCAATGGGCTTTATGCTGCCCTGCAAGGCTTAAAACCTGGATTTGAATAGAGACAAAGCCATTCTTAAGCACATATAAAGGTGCTCATTCATGAGCCTGGATCGACATTTATCTCTGATTATGTTCATGGTGGAGAATCCTGCTTCACAGCAGCAGGTTGAGCCAAACATTCTCAAAATGTGCAGGGTCACCTTTAAGCACGCCATTTCACTGCAGTTCTTCCAGCAGTCCACACTTTCTCTGCTCTCTTTTTCTCATCGTCTTCTCCTTCTTTCCAATCGCCCGGCTTGCCACAGGTTTGCCTGCTGTGTTTAAAGGCTGCTTTATACTTTGAAACTGGGTCGTCTGCGTAGGTGTCGCAGTGAACAAAAAGACGTGCCCGCCCCCTCCGCAGACACTCCGCTGCACCTCTCCCAAATTGTAGGTGACCACAAACAGTGCCGCAGACAGGAGGCCAGCATGTTTTGTTTTTATGACCGGGAAACAACTCGTCAAGTTGGACCAGCTAGAAGGGCGAGCTGTGCGAGAACGCTGGGACCCTTTTTCCACCTGGATCCCCACTATTTTTCGCCGTCATGTCCCTCCTCCGTTGTTGGATAAACTTGCCCCCACTTCATCACCGCCTAGGCCATATCTAGACCCACAGCGTATAGTGCAGACCACGCTTCATTACTGGGCATAAATCAAAAATGTCTGCGTCAAGCTCACTGCGATACACTGCTGCAGGAGGATAACCAGCCCTTAAAAGTAGCTCGCAGCAGCAACCCAGACTGACAGCAGCTCATTGGCTAATTTGTATGACATGTGAATCACAAGTGATTACAAGTGAAGTTAGACACTGTCATTGGACAACATGTGACAACTTATGAATGTTTTAAATCAGGTTTGGTCCGGATTAGCAAGCAGGTTGGATCTGGATCCGGACCGCGGTCTGCTAATCCATGACCTCTGATTTAGACTTTGAAATGAAACCTTGTTTTCTTCCATTATTACATTTTTCTGTAAAAATTGTTAAATGCCAGCTCAGTAAAGCTATAGAAGAACTCAAGTTCTTGTGGAAGTATGCTTAAAATAAAAATGTCATCATGACTAGATTGTTAGATAATTATTTACTAGCCAACAACAAACCTAGGTGCACCGGTACAACCAGAGCAAAAAGTTAGTCTAGAGCCCTGAGAGCAAGTTTGTCGTCGTACCTGGTGAAACAGTTGGCCTGCGGGGAGTTGGGGGAGGAGGCCTAGACGGTCTAGGTGGTCGAACCGGCTTCCCGCTCAACGATGGGGAACCTTTGCTGTTAACTGTCCTTTGAGTGCTTGGAGAGGATCTGTGCTCCACACTGTCCAAAGCTGGAGAGCTGTCTCGACTTGGCCTGTCCAGAAAAAAAAAAATCAAAATTAAAACAGTAGACAAACGAAGTTGAAAATCTGACTAGAAATCTGACACTAATTGATGTTTGTTGAAAATGTGAATTCTACCTCAAAGTGTGATCCCCATTCTGCTGTGATGATTCTCCATTAGATGTACCTAAAAAAGAAACACAAGCAAAAGTTGAAAAAAATAGATCTGTTGACATATTCATGTGCTTTAACTTTAGGGATGCTCAACAGAAAACTAGAATATTTAACAACATAAATGCAACACTACTTAAAAATTGTATAGAACAGCTTTATTTTAGATATTAATCTTAAGTTAAGGAATGAACCCGGCTCTATGACACCCTCAGCACCTCCAGAAGCAGGAGTGATGTCTGCTACTGAGGAGGGACTTGCTCCCAGTATAAGAACCTGACATCACAGTGGTGATCCTCAGTCTAACACCTCCTCCTTTACCTAAAGTTAAAGTATTTTGAGCTCAGCCTGATGCATCAATATAAAAGGTGCACATGATGGGGCCTAGAGTACCACGTTGAATCCCATGGAGGGTTAAGCTAATCCACACTGGGCGTAGTCTTCGGGCAGCCTGGCACACCAAAAACCAACATAACAAGCTGAAAAAGTGACAAAGTACACTTTCAGAGTGGAAAAAAATAGCAGTTTTCCAGCAACTCCTGCAGAAATGTCAGAATAACTCAGATGCACTGTTTGTGGAGGCATTCCTTGCACTCTGAGCTAAGTTCATAATATTCTGGGGAACCCCATGGCAGTCAGATTCACCCTCTGACAGGCCAGGCAAAAAGAACCATATGCTCTGGATGAGGATGAAATATCTCTTCACATGCTTGCCTCAACAGATCTCTGCAAAGACGGAGCTGCCACGGCTCATCCTACAGTGACTGGAAGATCTCTGCATGCATCGTCTCTTGTACCCTGGAGAGTGTCGGAGTAATGAGTTCCAGTCGAGAAAAAGCCTACAGTTGAACCTGCCAGGCCATACCTCTCCATACTTAGATTAAAAACTTGCTGTGGAGTTTCCACTCCTTGTGGCAGGGATTATCTCTGGACAGCAAGTCGGCACCGCTGTTCATGACTCGTGACTCGTTCTCAGTGACAGCAGGCGTGAGCTGGTCTAGATTATCGGTTTGTGTGATGTGACTGCAGACCATCCTGTCTCTTGATGTAAGCAACCACTGTTATATTGTCTGTCCTAAATAAAATATGCCACCCTCCGATAAAGAGTAAAAATTTCCAGGGCTAACGTTAGGGCCAAGAACTTCAGACAGTGGCACCACCACTTCTGTGGAGATGGCCTTCCTTGTTTGGATGGTTGCTATGGTATCCCGGGAAATTAGAAATGTGGGGCTTTTCCACGCACTACAAAAACAATCAAGAAATAAGAAAAAAATCTTAAATCAAGTGTATTTACCCTTAATTTGAGTAAGTAAATAAGATGATTTGCCAATGAAATTAGTACTTTTACTCTTAAAATAAAATAACTTGATAATATGAACTTGAAATAAGACAATTGTTTTTTTCTTATTTTAAATGTAAATTGTCTTATTCCATTGGCAAAGGGTCTCACTTACCTCCTCAATTCAAGAACAAATGTACTTATTTATAAAAAATTACTTACTAATATTAATATTTTTTTTGCAGTGGACTCGCACGTGCGCAAGTCGGTGAAACTATCACCTTGTGATGATGTGAATGGTGAACTGGGTTCAAATTAATTAATGGGACCCAACATTGAAAAGGATGCATATACAAAAGGCTGAACGGGATGACAACCTGTGCATGACATTTTACTATGCCCACGAAATGGTGGAGCTGCGACCAACTGGAGTCTGAATCCTCTGGATACAGTTTTTAATACCCAGGCCGATGCCCCACACACTCGCCATTGCTGACTCTTTCCCGCTAGTGGACCGGAATGTGTTTCTGCCTAACGACTGTGCCGTTCAAACTAAGTGAGCTGTGGCACTGTTGGAAGTTTTCAGCCGTGGGTGCCCCAAGTCCCCTTCCTCTCTTGTGAACAAAGTGGCCGGTTGTGAGAGCTCTACCTTGTGCCCTCATGGCTACATTCTGTTCTTGTGTCATCTTCAATATGTTTTTCTTATTCGTTGTTGCGGGTGCACCCTCAGCTCTTGGCCTGATTTTGCACCAATGGTTTTATCAAATTCTTAGATAACAGTGGAAAAATGTAGATAAAACACTGGCGTGTACTTAAAAACCACTGTGGCACCATCAAGCACTGCGTGTCAGCTTCCTCCTCTTCAACCAGCTCTGAACTCTTCGCTCCATCTTTGTGTACTAACCATGGACATTGTTAAAAGAGAACTTCACTTTTACTCACTGCAATGGTCTGCCTCTGCTGAGGCAAACACTTCAGGGTCCACCGTCATGCCGTCCAGAAGGACAGACAGGTCTCCCACCACATCTGTTTGCTCTCTGTCACTGTACAGCTGGAGAGTCTGTATCAACTCAGAAACTATAAAAGAAAAAAAATGTTAAGGAGTGGCGTTAAAGGTCTGATATTATGAAAAACTATAAACAAACAACTTGAGAGTTTTGCATCTCTAGGCTGAGCATTTCAAAGAGGATCAACTTCACAACACTGGTGCTAACAAAGCCGGCGCCTGTAAACATGGTGGTAGCACGGCAGCTAACGTTTGTGTCCCCAGCTGTTTTTATAAGTGGGTGGTTTTTATAAAATGCATAAAATTCTTTGTCCTTCACAAACTGTCTTTTCTTAACAGGATAACTGCAATAATTCTGATTATGTGCTTGAGCCAAATCAATTTAGTCAGTAGCAGCCTGGTTAGTTCATTACATCAGATAAGTGTACTTGTTAGTTTGTTTATTGAAATTGTTACGTATTTAGAGGAAATGCTCTGTGCTCTATATTGAGATGATTATAGTGGAATTTGTATTTCTGTTACAATAAAAATTTTAATTATTGTCGTTAACAATTAATTAATTAATTAATCAATCAACTGGGAAATCTGTGCTTATTGTGTGTTTTGTCCCTTTTAAGTTGCCTAAATTTATAGCTCTCCTGCTTTTATATTATGTCGTAATCCATGCTTCTAGAGGAAATCTGTACATGCTCTGACTACTGCCATGGTTTTGGGTCATGGGGGTGTGGCATTCGAGATGGCAGGGGTGTGGGAGTCCAAAACAGCTCATCCAGATAGGGCTGAATGAGGAGGTTTCTGGTATATGTCTTTCTATTCTGAGAGGAATAGACAGACATGCTCTGGGGACCTCATCGTAAGAACGAGAACACAGGGATTACTGGGCTGCTTCAGCTCAGGTTGAATCAGAAGCTCATTACTAAAGTACAGCTTATGCATCATCTGGACTAAAAAGTTATTTTGACAGTCTGTAATTTTTGTTTTTTTTTGCTTTGCCATGAAACCAATCAGCATATAAGTAGTGTTCCAAATTTACCTTCATTAGCCCCACTGGAACGGATTAAATGATGCAAAAGGAAGAAATCTTAATGAGCCAAAGATGATTAAGTCATATGAGACTGAGGAAAACAACAACAAGCTTAACAATTGTGATCAATTCCATTTAATCAAAGGCTTTGTATTGATTCTTCTTCCTTCGCTGGATTAGTCCACTCTGAACCTGATAATCTAGTGCCAAAAAAATTATTCGACTCTAAGTGATAAAGCTGCACTACCCTGCAGCTCATAACAAGAATGGGCAGAAGCTTTAGGACCATGAACACAACCAAAACATGCTCCATTACACAAGAGCTAGAGCAAATCCTTCACAGTTTCATGCAATATGCAATAGCTAGCAGACTTCTACAGCTGAGAGTCAAGGAGATTGGTTACTCTATCAACTGCTGGAAACCATTTTTATTTCATACTCTCTGAACAAATGTTCCTCAAAGTTAAGCAGCTCTTAGAAAGCAGACACTTCTATGGTGCCATGGAAACGCATTCAGAGACTTTAAGTTTGTAAAGATTTAAACCAGAACAGCATAAACTACTCCATAGTAGTGAAAACTGTGCAGTTGGATCGAAAGCACACATAAAAGGGCTTGGCAATGGGCGTGATTTGGTGGCGCAGTGGTTAGCGAGCCTGATCCATGTAGGGAAGCCTAAAGGGCTGGTTATACTCCCGAAGCAGTGTGTGGCAGATAGTGTTAATTTCGTTGACAAAAACTAAACGAAAATATTTTCGTCAACGCACATTTTTCACCGAACGAAAACTAGACGAGACGAGACGAAAATCCCCACTAATAAACAATAACTGGGAGTAAATCAGAAACAATTTTTGTGGACTAATAAAGACGAGATGAAAATGCAGTTCGGTAAATAAAGACTGGACTAAACTCTATGGACATTTTAGTTCACAAACAAAGACGAGACGAAAATTACATAATATTATTTTTTTGTTTTTTCAAATCCTGTCTCCTCCTCCGCCGCCTCCTCGTCAGCTCTTCCGCCACACACCCACTTTTAAACCTGGAGCGGGCGGCACAGAGTGGCCTACACAACACATGGAGCAGACAGGAGCTGGATTCACGGCGAGACGGTGACAGGTTAAAAATAAAACATGCTTTGCACGGGGCTCGGGAGAAAGAGGAGACGTGATATGGACACATTTTCACTTCATTGAAGTGGAGAACAAAACCAAATGCTTGATTTTAGTGGAAGGGAAGGAATGTGGCCACATGGTAGCTGGAAAAAACACAACAAACCTGAAGAGACACGTCGCAGTTCAACACAAACACATTACGGTAAGTTAACAGAAAGATTGGTGGTGGTTGTTTATAATGTAACATTAATCAACGGCTATAATGTCCCAATGATAAACTAACTAATGTTGGCTAACTTTCATAGCATTTAGTATCCAGGCTGGCTACGTTACGTTAGCTTGTTAGCACGTAGCGACCGTAGCCACTTGTTGATAGAATTGTATGTGAAGTTAAATTTATGCTAACTTAGATATGTTATACTGGCAGGGCAACTACAGTTTCAGTTAAATTGCAAGTTTGATTAAAGCAGACAGACGTTTAAGGTAATCTAGGAGCTGCAAGTGAACTATAGTTAACACAAAACACCTGGGCAGCTACACATGTATGCTAAAACGAACTGAAACAACATAATTTAGAACAACTTTAACCTAGATTTTCATACTCAAAATAGCCATTGCTTGGGGACTCCCAATGTCTTTATTTGGTGACATTAAATGCTGCTCTGTTTATCTGCACATTACTATAACAAGGACATTTGATTTGAATTGGCATCAATATTAATACAACCAAAATGCATGCACACAAAAAATGTCTGCAATTTATTCCTGCATAAAATGATAGTTAGTTTGTTTGTATGAGTTTGAAAGGGATTGTCAAATGTAGTTTTTACAGAGACTTAGCTTTTGTTAAGGAAAAAAACAGACCTATATGCTACTTATACACTTGGAATTCCTGTTATGCTGTGCATCTATCCTGATATTGTATTAATTTCTGTTCCAGATTGAAGATACACCACCACCAACAACCACCCAGTAACAATGACAGGCCAGCTATACAAGCTTCCTTAATTGCCCACACCAAATACAAAGCTGACTCTCAGGACTAGCAAGCTATGCCTTTTTCACCTTAAATAATGTACCTTTATATACCATCTGAACTAGCTGGCAGGAAAGCACTTTTGTTGAATCCGTTTTTTTTTTCACAACACTGACCTCAAATCTATTTATTTTGTTATTCTATGTGAACTAGCTTTAAACAGCCAGCACTTGTGTAAAGTTTATAAGACACTTTATTTTATTTATTTGTTTCCCTTGTCAGGTGTATTTTTTGTTTTAATGCAAGCATTTGTGTTTGTGTCTTTGAACCTTAACAATGTTCAAAATAAATATGCAAATATTGTCAGAACATCTTCCATGTCTGCATGTGTTCTTTAAAATTGTGTTTTTTTAATCAAAAAGATGAGAGAAAATGTTGAAATGTGAAATAATTTTAGGAAATGTTAAATATTATCTGCTGACAAAAAAGCAAAAGGTTAAAATTATGTCCTGACTAAAACTAGACTAAAATATTGACAGTTTTTGTTGACTAAAGCTAAACGAATAAAATTATGTTTTCTTGGACTAAAATAACGACTAAAATGCTCGACTTATAGTCGACTAAAACTAGACTAAATAAAAATGGGATGATGTCGACTAAATGTGATAAAAACTAACAAGCGATGCTGAAACTGGACTAAAACTGAAACTAAATTTAAAAATGGCTGCTAAAATTAACACTAGTGGCAGATAGCTTGTATGACGCAGATATGTTTGATTTATTCCCAATTTTGAGGCGTGGTCTGACCTATATTAGTCCACGTCACAACGCAAGAGGGACAATCCCGAACTAGCTGTGGGTATAGATACGGCCGAGGCGGTGAGGAATTGGAAATACGCAAGGGACAAGTTTGTGCGACAACAGAGGGGCAGAAAACAGCAGAGATCCAGGTGGAAAAAGGGTCCCAGCGTTCTCGCACACCTCGCTCTTCTAGCTGGTCCATCTTCACGGGTCATTTTCCACAATGGCAGTCATACAAACAAAACAAGCCAGTAAGGTTTCAAACAGGAAATGTGTATAGTGTAGAGCGGATGTAGATTTGACCAATCAGAGGCCTCCTGTCTGCGGCACTGTTTGTGGTCACCTACAATTTCTGAGAAGTGCACCAAAGTGTCTGCGGAAGGGGTGGGGGCGTATCTGCATTAACCGCAACACACAGACAGACGACCTGGTTTCTGAGTATAAACCAGCCTTTATTCCTCGACACGGCCGACCCAGGTTAATAAATCCAACATGTGGTCCTTTGCCATATGTCTCTCCTCCTTTCATACCCCCTTTCCTGTCAGCCTACTTAAAAAAAAATGAGGCACTAGTGCTGTAAAAGCTCAAAAAAAAAAACAACATTTTCAATAAAACCTCAAATTAGAAAAAAATGCATATTTAACTCATTTTTACTAACATTAGATAAAAGATGATACATTTCTGCCTCCACCCCTTTAGGTGGCGGTGATCCACTTGAAGGAGATATGCCACCACAAAGAAGGGAGGAGAGAGTCGCAGTACAGTCCTCCAAAAATCGGCTCTGGACAAGCAATCTTTCAAGGTCATGAAAAAACATTTACATGCTTGTGCTTAGTGCAAAGGGAAATCGCTGAAAATGATCGCAATTTATATTTTTGGCAAAATCCTTCTGCCCTATGTAGAACAAAAATTTTCTAAGTCTTTCCATGTCTAAAATGTTTTCCTAGCATGACCCAATACCTTAGTTACCTCCTTAGGATGTCATTCAGTTCTGTGGAGGTCTGGTAATCAGCATTTAATTGGTTCTAGGGGTACTGAACCAGAGAAACATCTATATAATCTAGGACAGTGGCTCTTGAGGACTGAAGGTATCTGGTCCTTTCCTAACACACAACTGCAGAATGTGGCTAAATAAAGATTAGACTTCTGCAACCGAACACATCAAATGTCGCTTGGGTCTGGTCGCAAACCAATTTTGCTGGTATGCTTCTGCACCGTCGGTCTGGAATTTCTAGCAGTTTCCTGCCAAAGCGCAAGGAGGAGCCTATTAGAGAACTCGCGAGAACTTCGACAGCTTGTACTTCTGAACCTCCTCAATTAACCTTTCCTCGTAGTTGTCCATTGTAGTTGTTCCTTGGTTTTTAAAAATGGCACGCCACGGCACCGAATCGAGTACGACAGCCACACAGAGAGCCAGAAAGGCATACCAAGGACCAATCACAGCTGCTTTTTTTCTGTGCACTTCCGCTGCATGGGTTTGTAACTGTCCAACACGCAGTCAGGATTTTTTTGAGTTGCATGACGACGGTTGCAGAACATCTGCGCGGGGCGTGGTTGCGCACAGAAACAGATTTGACGGTTCCAGAGGCCATGCGTCAGATGCATAAATTGGCCTCAAGTCTTCCTACAGAGAAAATAACTCCATCTCAAATCTTTGTGTGAAACAGTTTGCATTTATTTTGTAAAATGCAAAAGTTTGTTTTATCTAGTTTGTTTCAACTGTCTGCATTTCAACTACTTACTTTTCATGTCGTTGGCCTTTAGTGTTTCACTGAGGTCCAGCTTGGCCTGGCCTAAAAACAAGTCTGACTTCAAGGTCTGGTGGCTCCAAACACGAAACACTAGCTTGCTGAAGGGAGTGGCAACCCTGTTGAGACAAAGCATTTTAATATATGTATTTATTATTAGTAGGGCTACTCCTTTAATTAATTAATCTAATCAGTTACAGAATTTATAACGATTTAATTTAATTAATCACATTTTGATCTTTTTTTAATGTATTATTTTTATTGACATTCAAAATCAGACAACCAAAACTTAATGTACATTTGAATCAATTTCTGTTGACTGTTCTAAATGTCAAATTAATATTTTGTATTACATAAAAACAGAGAAAGATGAAAAAATAAAATAAAATCAATAAAAAATATGTACAAAATAGAGCAATCATTTTGTGTAAAACAGTTAATTAACTCAGATATATATGGTGTAACGTATTTGACCCAATTTTCTCAATGCAAAGCAAATGCCTCCGCTGTGCGATTTAAAAAAATGCTGTAATCTCCACTTTTATACATGTCCATTGTAATGTCCGTCCACGTGCTTAAGGTTGGGCTCTCTTGTGATAACCATTTCCTGGTAATTCTCTTTTTGCAGGCAATCAGTTGTTTGGTTTCTCCAATATAAAAATCAGAGCATATTGGAGAAACCAAACAGATGGCCCAACACAGAAGAGCTACCACCTCCGGACAAGACTCGGCTGTACATCTACACCTTATGGACAAAGGACATTCTTTTGAGGACCAGAATGTTTACATTTTGGACAAAGAAGACAGGTGGTTTTCAGGCAATGTGAAGGAGGCCATTTATGTTAAGAAAGAAAAGCCAAACTTAAAGGAGAATTCCGGTTTTTAACACTTTTAGCCCATTTTCTGTAGTGTCCAGGATGAAATCGAATGATCGACACCAAAATTTTGACAATTCGTCCGGTCTCTGCTTTTTGGCTCATGCAGAATCCCCCCCTCGCTGCTTCAGAATGGCTTCCATTGTGCATGTCCGATAATGTCCTTAAAACAACCTTAAACGTTCTTTTTTTAAAATATGCTACTCACCGGGTCGTCAGCGCTGTTCAATGACGTTCCAAAAAAAGTTTCGTGGAGAAAAACCGTTCCTGTCTTGTTTTATTTAGCATTTTGTAAATCCCAGAACTATTTTTTCCGATACATCACAACCGCTTATAAACTTCCGCTTCCCGTTCGAATCTGAAGCGTTGCACACTCCAGACCACTAGTTGGCGACGGTATCCTCTACCGTCAAACTCAAAGTCCAATATGTCCTCCTCAAGAATCCACCTTTCGTATTCCATTTTCAGAGTTTTTTAAAGTGTTTAACAGAGACGTTAGCACCTCGACGTCGGAGTACACAGAGTGAAGCATAAACACTTGGGCCTTGCGAAAAGACTACAACTAAGTGTAAACAGGCCCCATTTCCGTTTCCGGTGGCGGAGGGATATTGACTATTGCAACAGAACTCAATGGGATTTACAAAATGCTAAATAAAACACTACAGGAACGTTTTTTCTTTACGAAACTTTTTTTGGAACGTCATTGAACAGCGCTGACGACCCGGTGAGTAGCATATTTTAAAAAAAGAACGTTTAAGGTTGTTTTAAGGACATTATCGGACATGCACAATGGAAGCCATTCTGAAGCAGCCAGGGGGGGATTCTGCATGAGCCAAAAAGCAGAGACAGGACCAATTGTCAAAATTTTGGTGTCGATCATTCGATTTCATCCTGGACACTACAGAAAATGGGCTAAAAGTGTTAAAAACCGGAATTCTCCTTTAAATAGAGGGGGTGGACTCAGATTTCAGCTTTCAAAAATAGCTATCATCGCAACCCCCCCTGCCCATACGGGGGGACCAAAACATCTTGCCTGTTCAGCCAGGCCAACAATCCCCCCAAACAAACCCCCTTACAGAGGCATAGACCAGTATTGGGTATTGCAGGCTAGGGCTGGGCGATAATTCAATAACGATATATATCGATCGATACACGTGTGGCGCAATAGAAAAAAAAGAGAGTCGATAAAAGTTCGATAAAAAAGAAACGCAGTTTTCCTTCCTTCTCATTGTAGCCTAGCATGTAGGTTTATGCTAGTCACTACTTCCTCCCAAACAATCACAATAGCGGACCCAGGCACGCCGTCACAAAGCGCCGCCCTCTCAAACCACAACACAGAGCACATGAAGATGTTGCAGCAAGGAGAGTCGGAGGAAACTGTTCCAAAGAAGGGTTTTTGTAGTTCGCCAGTCTGGTAGTATTTCGGTCATGGCAAGTCGGACCAAAAACAAACCACAGTCATCTGTTAAATGTGTAGGGAACCAGTGAAAACGAAGGCTGATAACACAACCAACTTCTTTTTTTTTTATCATCTCAGCCGCTCACACCCGCTGGAGTACGAGCTGTGTAATCCCCGGCGCGGCTCTCCTCCGAGGAATCTTCGGGAAAATATATATATATTTTCAGTTCTGGGCAGTTTCCCACGTAGTTCTAACAATTGAGATAAAAATGCTGAGGGGCCAGCAACTTCAAAGTAATAACTCAGGTTAAAGCAGGAAACGGGGGCGGCGGCGGTGGGGGGGCATTTATTTATTTGTTATATTTATTTCGGTCACTTTTCTGGTCACTTTAGTTTATTCTTTGTCAGTATTTAATAACATAACTCAGGTCTCTTAAGTTATTTTTCTTTAAAACAATTCTGTTATGGTTAAAAAAGTTGGTTAAATAAAGATTTAATTCGAAGTCTGTGTTTGTGTTTTTTATTAAAATTAAACCATTTAGCAATATTATAAAAAGTCCAGGCAGAGCTGCACATAAAATATGGTTTCAAATCTTTTCAATAATTATCAATATCGATCAATATACATTTTTTTTTATCGATAAGCTTTTTTTCTATATCGCCCAGCCCTATTGCAGGCTAACAAAGAACCCAACTCCCCATTCCTGAGGGGCGGACCCGTCTTTCAGGTTCAATTTGCATGTTTTTCTAAGCCACAACAAGGCTTTGTTTCAGACCACTCTACAGAGCCTCAAACTCAATGCTAATTCTGACATTTTGAATTGAAAAAGCTTCCAGGATGGGAAGTGAAACGTCCTCAAACTTGGAGACAAAGTCCAGTGGATTGTTTTTTTACTTTTTTGGAATGACTATGACCTGGAGGACTGAGAATCTTCACCAGAATAGGACTGAAGTTGGCGTTAAGGATCCACACTCAATTTTATTTTTGCCTTCTTTTGGTATGGCTGAAATTATTGCTTCTTTGCAGCTTGGTGGGGAACAATGGTCCTGAAGGGCCGCAGTCCTTTTAGTTTTCTATGCAACACGGGTCCCAGACAGGCTATGAAGTTCTGTACATTGAGTCATTAATTAGAATTAGGTGTGTTGGGGCAGAGAAATTAGGTAACCTTGCAGGATTAGGTGCAATGTGCTAAATGTACCCAAATAAAGAATATGAATTCTAGGATATAATTGAAGTGTATAGCTAACCAGTCTTTGGTGGCTTTGCTCGTTCATTTACCAAACTAGGCAGGCTTTGCTTGGTGAAGTGTTCTCGTGGCAGAACTAGCAGCTGTAGCCACGTACTTCTTGTTTTTAAAAGTTCAGCTGGAGCAGGTTGGGTTTGGAGATAATTTTGCAATAATTAAAAATCACTTTGCTGACAGATCAGTCTCCATTTCTTTGAAAACAAAATTTCACATTCATTTCTACTTCTGATTTTGGCATTACGGCCAAACCACTACCCGGGTCACACAATGGCCCAAATTTAAAATGCTCATGCAAGGAGTTGGCACTCTAAAATAATCACAATTGTTTTATTTATTTATGACGTATTCAAACTGCAATCCCTAATTATTATTCACCATTTTCTAATTGGGGGGTATGTAAACTGTAGCTATGTACACTCACAGTCAAGAATAGTTTTTTCCTATTTTGCTCCTCTGACTAATAGAGGCTATTCAAGGACAGAGAGTGTCTATAACCAACACTCTGGCAGCTGTTTCACTAGCACCATGAAAAGACACTGAATATATGGCTCCAATTACCTCCCTTAGTAAACACATGACATAGACCTCTTGAAATTATAGAGGAACTATCAAAAGGTTTAGTGGATAAAATAAATGTAGGATCATGTTGGTAGCAAGTAAAAAAGCCATTAAAAGGGAATATGTGTTTGAAGTAACGCACAATATTTGGTTGTTTTTTCCCCATCAGATTAAAATCTGGCAAATAATACAATCTTTGGAAAACCTGGGTGAGTTTTTATCTCCACTGAGCACAGAGTTTGTTGAGTAATAGTGTCTGGAAGAACCTCTCTATACTACAAAATGTAAAAAGTCCGTCTACAGATTCCTTCTGTTGATAAAAAAAAAAAAAAGCAAAGATATTGTGGGAAAATAATGCAAAAGAAATTCTCTTCTGTTAATCTGGTTTTGTGCATTATAAAAACCAAGAAGGCTGCTTTTAGGTTATTCTATGTATTTAGTACTTTTGATCATGTGGTGAATTCATTAAACAATGGTGATAGGGCACAATACGAAAGGAAAGGCAGGAAGAAGAGAAGGACAAGGAGCAAAAGTGGAATGGGAAGATAAAAGGGAGAAATGTAAAGGACAAGAAAGATCAAAGTTAAAATAAGTCTAGCTGGAGGAAGAACTGTCACATGGAAGGAAGAGAGCCCAAAGCCCAGAAAGAAAGGACAGAAATAAACAATATCCCTCAGGTGCTGGCAAATTTCAGGCAAGATTTTAAATTTAGGATATTAAGGACTTTATCAGGAACATGACTATGTGAATAAAAGTTAATTTTCTTACTAAGTAAGCAAAGCTAGATGTAGTGACTCATTTGTAAAACTGGATGTTGCTGCAGAAAAAGTCTTGAGAAACTCTGTAAAACCCCTGGTGCAACAAAATTCATTTCTAAATTTCCAACTATACACAAACTGTCTGATCAGTCTTCTTGGGAAATGGCCTTTAGATGCTGCAACGGCAGCATTTCAACTATCCTTAAGAAAAAACCTCAAGCCTCTTTTTAAAACATGATCTCATTCAAATTATGGGTAATTTAAAAACTTGCACTTATTGTGAGCACTTTATTATTATTTTGTGCATGGATAATTGATCAACAACAGATTAGCCTTGTGCTGCAATGTTTTCTATAACAAAGCTAACATTCCTGATCCAACTGTGGAGCAAATAAACAAAAGGTAGAATATGATTGGTGTTTACAAACCTCACCTTAAGATTTTCATTAAACTCTGAGTTTAGAGTTCTCTTCTAAAATTAACCAAGAGAAAGTTTGTGCTGAAATCAAATCTAGATTTTGATCCAAGTTTTCAGTATAGATAGACTTGTTTTAAGTGCCCTAAACCAGATTGATAATATTTCAGTTTAGATGTGAGTAAAAGTTGAGGCTTTCTGCACAGCTGAGTGAGTCCTGTGTATATGGCTCTTTTAGGTAAAGTTCTGGTAACAGCGGTCATCGACGGCCACATAAGGCTTCAGTTATTCTGACTTACACAGTGAATGGCTGCTTCCATTTGGGGGTGTGAGTGTTGTTGCATTTTTCTGTTTTCTTGGACTGGCCGTCGACTGTCACTTCCACATAAGGACTGGGGCCAAACCAGTTCTTCTTGTTTTCTCTCAGTTTCGCTGATAGCACTGAAACAGACAGAAGTGGCTTTTTAATAGCGAGTCACAGGCAGGATACAGGAATTAAAACAGGATAAAGATTCAGCGTAAAGGAGAACGCTGTAGAAAATGGCACAATGTGAGAGTGAGGGACAAAGTTTTGATGTAGAAACAAAATGAAATCTGAACTCAGGAAGATGTTTTTGTCAAAAGGAGGTTCAGGGTCTATGTAACTTAAATGGATCCGTTCTCATATCTATTGATGTTCACTATTATTCTCTGGGTAAAATTCCCTAATTAAGCTTTCTTTTTTAACATTTCACATCAAATAAGTATGAAAAGTACAGATAATTTATTGTGATCAGAACATCCCTAACAATAGACATTCACATTAGAGCGAGATCTAAGCAGTCACACTTTCTAACATGCACACATTTGTTTCCCAAAACAAAGACTGGTAGGTCATCTGAGGTTTCTGAGGGGAATTAGCTGGAATCAATCTGTCATCATGAACTTTGTGGACTTGTGTGAGAAGAACCACGTGTGTCGTAACACCAGGAAGACCAAAGAGATGGTGATCACTTCAGGAGAAGACTCCCCACCTCACTCCTCTGTTTACATCCAAGGGCAGGATAAAAACTGTGGAGAGTTCCAAATATCTGGGTGTTCATATCAATAACAAACTGGAATGGACTAATAACACTGACGCCCTGTATAAGAAGGGCCAGAGCTGCCTCCACCTCCTGAGGAGGCTGAGGTCCTTTGGAGTGAGCAGGCCCTTGATTAAATCCTTCTATGTCTCTGTGGTGGCATCAGCTCTACTCTGCACTGTTGTCTGCTGGGCCCCTGGCAGCGCAGAGCGGGACAGAAAAAGACTGAACAAACTAGAGAGAAAGGCTGCTTCTGTCCTAAGCTGTGCTCTGGACTCTGTGGAGGAAGTGGCTGAGAGGAGGATGCTGTCCAAGCTTACATCCATCATGCACAACACCTTCCACCCTCTGCACCAGACTGTAGAGGAGCTGAGCAGCTCCTTTAAGACTCTCTCTTTTTTTTAAGACCATCTCTCCAGGGTAAAGCGATAAAGCTGGCAACAGAACCCACATGTTTCAGGCTGTGCCTATGTTCTCTGAGGGTGAACGATCCCTAGACACATGAGACAGGCCTTGTCCTTCTTGGGAATCAGGAAGCCACAACCCTGAGGACAGGGGTAAATAGTAGACGTCTGGTTCCCTTCTGTTTGCTTTGTGCTCACGCCGAACCACAAAGCGAGATAGGTATACTTGAACTTAGCACGCTGATGGCCTGCAGGCAGCAGGGGCTAACAAAATCTTAAAACTACTTTCAAGTAGCCTCACAAAAACAGAGCAAGCCAACAGAAGCTAGCTAGCCTGAATCCAAGAGGTGTTCTTAGTGAGTTGAAGAGCGTAAGAACTGAGTAATGCCAGTAATGACGGACACATATATGGTGCAGGCGGGGCCCGTCTCTTGTCGTCATCATGTCATTTGCCTCAAAGGCGTGATTAGAAGTGGGTTCAGCCAGGATACACAGGGGCGTGATATACCAGATTCATGTGCTGTACTAAGTGAATCAACTGAAAGGGAACTTACCAGTGACCTGAAGCTGTGCCTTTATGGGGTACCCATTGGAGGTGCTGGACTTGCTGACTCCACTGGCCATGACATAGGGCTGGGGAGAGAGCCTGACAAACACACAGAATACCAATTAACCAAAGCCTCACTCAAAATTATTGTTCCGATTTATTTCAATTTTCGTCTTAAATGGCTAAATGACCTTTGTTCAATGAACGTGTTTAAAATGCTCCTTTTTAGATCTACACAGGTGAGGGACAACAAGAACCAGTCTAAATAGGTCAAACCCAGATCTGCACAGCCCTGGTAAACTTTCTGTGGCACAAAGTCAGATACAGGTAGTATAAACAAACATAAATCCATCTGCATTTCCTCCCTACCCATGCAGGTACTGTATTTATGTGGAGTAGAAACATTAAAACCTAAAACATAAAGGGGGAGTGTTGGCCTGGTGGTTAGAGCAGTGTGTTTGTGCACGCCCGATACCAGTATTGGGCGGGCCCCGATACTGCCCTAAAATGGTGGTATCGGTATCGGCGAGTACCAACAAATAGGGCACCGATACCATTTTGAGCCAAAAGTTTGTTTAACTATTGTCACCCATTCCTGGTAGGCAATAAAAAGTTCTACTGGATTCACTTTGTATTAGATTTTTTCCTGCTTCACAAAGGTAGGCAGCAGCTTGACAAAGCCATGATGGCAATTATTTTACTTTATTATGGTATCGGTATCGGCCGATACTGCACAGCCAGGTATCGGGTATCGGTATCGGGGCCAAAAAATGGCATCGGCGCAACACTAGTTGCAAGTACCCGGCTCAATCCCTACAACCTCCAGTCTGGGTTCCTGAGCAAAACCCTTAACCCCACACTGCTCTCTGGGGGCTACACAATGGCAGCCCACTGCTCCCTCAAGGGGATGGGCCAAATGCAGAGAGTGATCCCCAGAGAGTGAATTTCCCCATTGTGGGAAATTAGAGGGATTTACATTTACATAAAGGCATATACTTCACCTAAATGACTATAAGTGCACCCCATCAGGCAATGCATATGCTTCACCACCATGGGAGATAACAGGTCAACAGCAAAGGACAAACTTCATGTTTCTGATGCTTTTAGAGATTACAAATTCTGTGTTTTGAGGAAACTTAATCCATACTCTGAAGTACGGGTGACACAAAAAGACAATATTATCATTACTAAATATATTGTCTATATTAGGTAGAGGTACATTTTTCCAGTGTGAGATCAATAAAGCTCAATTAATTATACGCCTTACAGGCAGCGATAAGGTACATCCTGCTGATTGTAGTTTTCAGTTATCGTCCTTTCAGTCCGACATGTTGAGTCACATTGTAAATCATTGTATGTCAGAAACCTTTAACTTTTTTTTTATGAACTGAGAAAAGTTGAGGCAGATGTGACCTTAGTTTAATGTACTTCAAAACTGTAAAAATGTTAACATGTTTTAGTCTGCAACCCGTTAAGCAACACTGGCCACATCTGGTCCCCGACCAATTATTAAGTCCATCTCTATCAAATATAAATAATGTATTGGTATTAGCATGGCCAGATGTCTGGCTTTAGGGCGGACAGTCCAGATTTTTTATTGCACTGTCCGGCATCCGGCGCTGCATCCAGCCGGATGTGTATTTGTCCTCCTTTATGAGGCACTAGGCGTGTAGAGCAGTTTTTATTTATTTATTTTTTACTGGGCTGCAGCACAATATCCAATCATCAAAAATGCATCACTGTCTGATCTATCACATGATTGGCTATGAGTGGCGCCATGCCAGATAAAGATCTGCTTGTTATTGGTTACAAAAGTAAACAAGGATCAGAATTACTGACCCTAAGCATTAAAGTTAGCGTCCTGTCAAAACCAGGACGTCGTTTAACCCAGAATGGACAAAAGAGCGTGAATTTATGACCAAAGGTAGTGGAGATTCATTCCATGGTTTCTGCCATTTTGTCGATGCGATGTGAGCGTAAGCAGTTGAGGAAAAGCTGCAATTGAACGGCGTGCGAGTACGGATTAACATAAAAGTAATAAACGTGCAGCAGCGAACTCTTCAATGTTGGCTTTTACATTAAGTTTTTTCGCCCCTGGATGCTAAAATAACTTGTGCAGAGCTGCAAGGTGGACTATACTATAAAACATCACTAGTCCTACGGAAGTGTAGACTGTGACGTGAAAGATTTCAGTGATTGGCCTATAGCTAAAGGGATGACCATAAAGACAGGTCTGCTGCACACACACACACACTTCCCAAAAGACTCTCTTAGAGGCTCTTAAAAATAAAGCTATACTTTTAGAGCAGTTGAATGTGTTTTCTACAATCTCTTTTGTTGTTTAAAAAAAATATTAGGCTATTTTATTATGAATGTTTCTTGTTAAAAATATTTTTTTAACATTTAAGTCCACACATCTTATGCTTTGCTTTTTAAAGATTCATCTCGGTGGTCACTTTTTAAACATCACAATGTATTAAATAAATACAAATGCTGGGAACCAATTCTTTTTTACATCTCTTTAATATTTATTTCTATTCAGCTACACAAGCATCCTCTTTCAACTACTAAGAATTGTACTATAAATGTGACTTTACCTGATTCTTATGTACACCTTAGTAATTTATTGATATGCCATACAACGTCCTCCTTTTTGGTATCCGTGTGCTCTGCAGCTCTTAAAATGTTGAGGAGCACATGGGAGGTTTTGTAAAGCGGACCAAGGCAGGTATAGAGCTTAAATATAGATTTTCTGATTGATATAATGTCAGCTTATAACTGGCAGTGAGTAAACAGCAACTCTTTCTTAAATTGTCTTAACTGTGACCCATAACATAAAAGCTGCAGCTTTAGCCAGGTATGGTAATAGGGAATCAGGGCAGGCATGCACAGGAACCAGATCCTAAACCTGTCCTTGAATCTGGTTGATTACCTCCGAGTCTCTGAATAATTCATGCTCTCACTCCATCTCGTCAGAGTTGGAGAAAGTGGGGAACTTTCACTCCGACTACGGCTTTGATCTCAGTCAATAATTCATTGCAACAGCTGACTTTGAGGCTCTATAACAAGGTAAACTTTGCTCTGATCGTGGCGTTTGCTGAATATTAAACTCCAAAATGCCCTCTTCTAACTGCACCCCCCTCCCCTTCTTAAGATTGATAATCTACTATAGAGGCACTTTTAACCCCTTAAGCCCAGAGTTTTAGAAGCACTTTCCGCCTGAAATTACATACTTGATTAAATCAAGAGAAGCGCCTAAGTTATAAGGTGGACGTGTAGAAAAAAAAAAATCATATGATAAAAAGTCATTAAAGATTATTTTCAAGTGGAACCACTATTGTAGGGTGTCATCATTTCTGATTTATAGATCAGATCAAACAGATTTAAAAAAAATCATAATTTGTAAGCCTTGACAATTGTTTTCAAACATTAACACTGAAAAACAGCATGAAAACCTCTTAGAATTTATTGAACCACATCTTGACATGACAGCAGCAAATTTGGACTGAACCGGTTGAAGTATGTTTATTCTCCAAAGGTTTTAGTGGACAGCATGGCAGCCGAGCATGTTATTCTGAAACAGATGTGCCAAAGTGTCCAAAACGTTCCAAATAAATTTTTTTCCCTAATAAAAAAGGAACCTGGTCTAACAAAAGTGCTGATTTCCATGTTATTGCTACTTCTGCATACATATACTGTGTTTTATTAAAATAATGTCCAACTATACAACGAAATTAGCAAAAAAAAAAGGTAGATTTTGTTATTCTTCAAAAGTAATGTGTATAACTAAAGCATGGATAATGTTAAAGTTTTATAAAGTTGCTTAAATCATTTCAACAAGTGAAGAGAGGTCGGGTGGAAACAGAATTCGTCAGGTTTTTTATTATCAGCTAACAAGATAAGAATTATTTTCTACTCTATTTATTTGTCCACTTTTAGAAATAGCAGACACATAATGTAAACAAGCTGAAAATATGAAATTACAGCGTAAATTATTCATAAAAGCAATCTCCACGGATCATTTCATCATCTATGAGTGAGAATCAATACTGTTGTAATGAGGCTGTGGGAAACGGGACTCATTGCAACATTCTTATCACCAGATCAGTATTATTTTCTAAATTATTCAAGTGCGCACTTTTTGAAACAAGTAGTGTAAATAAGCTGAAAATAAAACGTAAACAATGGTGTAATCATATTTTGCTGGACTGCTCTCAGCATGTCCGATGATGCCTTCAAACAAGCAATTTAACAGAGAATTTAAAAAGCATCCAATTGTCTCAATAAAGTCATTAAATATCCTTTAAAGATGTAGTTTAGCAGTCTTTGAAAATTTAAGCAATAGAAAATAAGTACTTTTAGTACCATATTATATTATTTATGACAACCTGGGTGAATAGCTGCTCAAAATGTGCAAATGAGTTGATGGTACGGATCAGGTATTGACAAGAGCCTCTAGTTATCAATGATACCAGTGATTAGGGCTTGCGTGTAGGGCTCGGCCATAAACCGGATTTTTACCGTTACCGTCATTTAATACAATAACCGGTGAAAAATGTTGCATGTTGTTAAAAGAAATACACTTAAAGGTATAGAGGAGGATCTTTTATTTCCAGGTGGATAATGTAAATAAGTGGTTTTCCTAATTATCAATCATTCTGGTGATATGTTTACCTAAAGCGGTCCTACATGCTCGTCCCGTTAGCTATCTTTTTCTGCGCATGCGCACTTTCAGGCATAAATGTGTGGTGAGCTACAGACAGTCATTGAAGCTCACCTATCTCTCCGCGGTTCTTTGAAAATGGCAGAGGGATGTAAGAGAAAAATGTGTTACGAAGGGTATGAGAAAAAAAAAAAAAGAAAGCCCTCAGAAGAGGCAGATATATCCTGGAATGCTTGGCGTGGAGAGCTCTCCTCGCCAAGCATTATGGGATTTGCTGTCACAGTGGCCCGCTGCCGCTATCCGACAGCAGCGATTAATAACAAAAATGCCGCAGGCACCTTGCAGTGGAGGAGGAGTTACGTGACCAACGGGGAGCAAAAAGCAGTGATCATCTGTCTGAACGGGAAGTTAACTGAGTTCGCTATAAAGTCCCCGCTCTATACAGTGATTGAGGGATTTAAGGGTTAGGGCTGACGTCAAGGCAAAGTAAGCTTGTATGAGCTATGAGAACAGCCACTTTTAAACAGAGCGTGCATGAGGAGAAATGGGCTTGTGCATGCTCTCGAACATGTTTAATAGGCTTTCTCTCTTCACAGGGTTGTGAATGTCATTTTTTTTTTAAGAGAGGGCGGGTCTTATAAAAAATTAACAAAGATCCTCCACAATACCTTAAATTCTGTTGCTTTTCCTTTGTGCCCTGGTGGCAGGTATTCCTTGCCCCTTTAAGACACTGCAGCAGTGTGTGTAATCACTTGACTCCCATACAGTCAGAAGCATCAACAAATAGAATGGCGGATGAGCCCAGTGAAGAAGCATTTAACACCGTTAACAAAATGACCTCAATTAATCCTGTGGGGCTGACCAAGAGCAGAGATGAAGCTGTGCGCGCAGAGAGGAAGTCCAGAGCGCATGTGGTCAGGGTTAAGCATGCAGCAGAGGTTTTTGTGCAAGTTTAAACGATGCACATTGATCTCACTGCAGGCTGAGTTCGCCATAGAAGTTGAGCAAAAGAAAAGTAATTCAAAGTTTGCCTGAAAGCTGTCGGGACTACCCAAAGTAACACATCAAATCTCCACCACCAAGATGTGCAAAAGGCTCCATGACCTTTGTGCTAAAATCTTTGCAAGAGAGGTCAAAATTTTCTCCATTTCAATGAGGCATTGTTGAATGTTTAAACTTTAATGGGTACAACACATTAATATTTATTTTAAAGTAAGTGTAAGTATGTAAGTAAGTGATATATTTAAATGATAAAGTTATAAAAATAAAACTATAACTGGATGAGTTGCATTTCCTGCACATGCCTTTATTTCTGATAGAGGAGCCAGAGCATTTTTTTCTTATTGAGGTAATGCCCAATTTATCATTATATTGAATTAAGGTTACATCGCCCAGCCCTAATTTCGTACTGCTGCGCAGAGGACGACATGTTACTAGAACTTTAACTCTAATTTTATTTGTAGTAAAACAAAAAGTATGTGTGTGAAAAAAACTCTTTTGATTGTTGTTTTAGAAACTTTAAAGCCTCTTCTTGAAAGGTTTGTGGGTGAAAAGAAATCGCCACCATGTTTCAACCCTATCCAAACAGATCAGCTTGGCCTGATAACGGGCCTGTCAAGCTTAAGGGGTTGAAAGACCAGCTTTACCTGCTTCCATGTCCCCCACTCAACTGTTGTTTTTTCCCTGTTTTTTCTATATATTTAAATATCAAAAATGTTGCTCAACCACACAAGACTACAATAGATCATGAAACAATCAGTATAACAGCAGAAGGAGGTGTTTCCTGACAATTTTAAGACTTCTGCAGCATTACTGAATTGTCAACTTGTTTATAAACACATGAGACACCAAAGCAGGTCTGAATCTACAGCATGAGCACTGTCTTGTGGTTTTAAAAAGCTCCTCCTGGGTTTTTCATAACCGATTATAATCATAGACAGTGAACAGGTTTTAAAAGTCTAACATGTTCGTACTGTTCCACATTCCGCTGACTCACACTAAGAATAAAAACAATGCTGCCGTGACGTTTCAAAGAGCCTCCAGCTCAACTTTACACATAGTCCTGCATCTGGAAATGAGATGTTTGTTGTTTATGGTGCATTGCTGATTACAGCAGCAACCGTGTCATTAGCCCAGCTGACAGGGAGTGTTTAACAGTTTAGTGAAGAATTACATATGACCAAGCTCTGAACATTTACAGAGCATTGCCAAATATATCATCCAGAAAAAGGATGGAAGAACTGCAAACCTACAAACATACAGCTGTCAGGAAAGGAAAGCATTAATCCAAGATTCTAATAAGAGGCTCATAGTAGTGATTAGAGATAGGCCTGAGCGATAAACAGAACATATACCATTACTGACATTAACTATGATAATCTGCGACAACTTTCCCATGTTTGTAAAAGAAATAAACGTAATTTTGCTAAGACACTGCAGCGTGTGTGTAATCATGTGACCCGTCCAGTAAGAAGAAGCATAAATAAAGGACAGTCGGATGAGCCCAGTGAGGAAGCGTCTAACACAGCCGCAAACTATATGACATCAGTTAATCCTGTGTAGCCAAGTGAGCGCACAGATAAAGCGGAGCACGCATCGTCAGAGTTGAGCGAGTGGCGGACAGGTTTGGTGCAAGGTTGGAGGAGTTTAAACGATTCACGTCGTTCTTACTGCACGCTTAGTTCGGTGGCACAAAAATTACTCCATGAATGTTGAGCAAAAGAACATGAAATTCAAAGTTTGTCTGAAGACTGTCAGAACTACCCAAAGTAACATAACCAACATCTCCCACCACCTGCAGCAAAACGATGCAGTTTAGTTCAAAGGTGTGCAAAAGGCTCCTTTACCTTTGTGCAAAAATGTTTACAAGAGAGGTTAACATTTTTCTCTTGTTCTATGAGATGCTGAATGTTAACAATACTTTTATATTTAATTGAAAGTAATATGTAATGTAATTTGGTCAATAAATAGATGAAAAAAGGATCAGTTGTATTTCTTGCGCATGACATCATTTATAGAGGGCAGGAGCATTTATCGTGGAGATTAAAAACAAGATTAAGACGTTTTTACAACCTGCAAATTTGACCATTTTATGTCTGAACTGGAGCCGCAGTGTGAGAAATTTCTGTCCTTACATGGCTGCTCATCTACTCTTTTATTAAACCCCAAATTAGACAAAAGCTGGCTGAAAACATGCACTTCATATTCTTCCATTTATTACCAGATTGTTTCTCTCTATCTCTCCCGTACATGTTCTTCTTCTCTTTTACTCCGAGTCTGAAAACAGCCATAAACGGAGCAGGTTGTTGTCATGGTGCATCTGCAAATGGACTATAGGGCCACCTTTCCATAAAAGATGCAGGCCCAACTGAGATACTACGCTACTGTAGGGCCGCAACTAACGATTATTTAGTAAAACGATTCATCTGTCAATTATGTTTTCGATTAATCGTTTAATAATCGGGAAGCCAAAGGTTCCTTAAGGGAGAGTTTTTACCAAATTAAACCAGATGAAACCAAAACTTTTTCGCTTGAGGAGTTCTGAATGGATCATACTAGGGGTGGGTATTGCCAAAGAAGTCACGATTCGATTCGAATCACGATTCACAGGCCACGATGCGATTCTATCACGATGCATCACGATACTTGAATTATTGCGATGCATTGCAATATTTTCTCCTCCATGTTTTGTTTTTGAATGACTTGGCACAGTATCCCACGGCCGGAAATGCTTCTGACACAAGGCAGCGTGCGTCAACACATTTGCAGCGACATCATACTGGACTGGAAGTTGTATTACACTTGTTTTTGGCTGATGTTCGCCAACCATTCATGCAATTTTATTTATTCATTTTTTTAAATTAATAATCGATTCTTGGCATCAAGAATCGATGCAGTAGATCACGAAACTTAGAATCACGATGCATCATCATCACGATTATTTTGCACACCCCTAGATCATACTGACAGAAAAAAAAGTTTGATCTTAAATGGAAAATGTTTATATATTTTGATATAATCGCTGCTCTAAATGACTTGCTCTATCAGCTAAAGGCACGTTTTAAAGTCCCTATACTCAGTTTAGTTAATGATTAATCGTTAACTAAATTAATTGATGATTATTTTATTAATCAGCTCATGAATTAACAATCCAAAAAAAGATAATGGTTAAAACTCTGTCAGCTCTAAACCTGGACCTGACCAGGCAAACTTCACAGAGTCATAGTTACCGAGTCTGACTCAGATCAAACCAGAAAGGAAACAAAAACCTGACTAGTTTAACTAAACCTGGCTTAAAAATTAAGCGGGTATTATGAAGCACTCCTAAGGAGTCACCTTTCTATAACTGGTTTAAGTTTAAAAATAGACCAAGTGAATATTGAAAGGTGTAAAGGAGACAAAATTAAAACAATAGACAAAACCCAAAATATGAGAAAGAAGGGGATAACCATAAATACCTACAGCCTTTAAAGAGGAGTATAAATGAATAAAATACAGAACATAAAAGATGAAAGCATTGAATTGTCTTAATGAGTCAGAAACACAACATTCACGTCAGACTGATCAAGTCAAAGTTTAGACTGAGACCTATAAGTTTGCATTGTGTTCCTGTTTAAGGAGTATATAACACAGTCAGAAATGACGCAGAGGACGAGACCTCTTATATTTCTGGATTGTTTTTAACTGACAGCTGAACCACATGGAAACAAACAGTTTATTTATCTTCTTATTAGAAAACAACCCAGAGAAACAGCTAACCCAGCCTTTCCTGGCACCGTATCCCGATAAACATGACAAATATTACATAATTTTCTCGAACTCTGAAAGTGCTAACTGATGTAGCTACAATGGCGATTCCTGTTCTGACTGCAAAAACACGAACTGTCACGATGAACGGCTTTATCTACTGAACCACTGTATCTGATGTTAACACCTTGAGCTTCAGTTGGTCTCCAGGTTTGACAGCCTCTCTGTCCGGCTAACTGAAACCTGCTGGCCTGCATCGATACGGCAGCTTAAAATACCAAAGTATGGAATCTTTACGACAACCGCTATGCTAGGAGAAACAATTCAGCCTTACCGAGACCAAAATGGGGGGTTGTGGAATGTGTTTTGGCGGCACTGAAACGTCTTCCCAACCTATTCCGAAGAGATATTTAGTTTGTATTTGGGGTGTCTCACTCCGAAGAACAAGAAACTTCCACCATCTTCCTAAGCTCCCGTCACGTGACAGAAACAAGGTGGGGCGCGTCATGCCTTTCACCCGCCTTCGTTCTGTGATTGGTCCAGATAACAGGCTGGTCAAACCAATAAGCGTTAGGTAAACATTATGATGAGTTCAGGTTCAACTCGTTCGTTTTGACGGATTACGATCTTTATTATTTGGAGTTAATAACTCATACTATAACTACAGAAGAGGATTAGGGACACTGAGAAAATAAAAAAAAAAGCTGACTGATTATAAAATTTTATTTCAGTTTAATATGGTTTCCTCACAATTCTTACTTTAATCTCAGAATTCTGACTTTAATCTCAGAATTCTGACTTTAATCTCAGAACTCTGACTTTTTTTCTCACAATCCTGACTACTGCTTCATGCTAACATGTTTGTTAGCTGTCAAAATTCATTCAGACTTCTGAGATTAAAGTCAGAATTCTGAGAATTAAGTCAGAATCTGAGAAAAAAGTCAGAATTCTGAGATTAAAGTCAGAATTCTGAGATTAAAGTTAGAATTCTGACTTTTTTCTTATAATGTACTGAAATAAAATAAAAAAATCAGTTAACTTTTTTATTTTTTCAGTGGCCGCAATCCTCATATTTGGGAAACAGAACCACCAATAATATGATTTGGGACATTAAACAGCACGTACAATTGCATTGTTGGCTGTTGTCGCCATTTCCCTGGGCTACTGTTTTGCTTACAATGTTGATTTGAATGAAATATGAAAGAATGAATATAAAGTCAAGTATACAAACAGGTTAAGGAGCTAAATGAACAACATTAATTGTCATCAAAGCAGGTACAAAACAGGTCTAAGAGGAGCTAACCCATTAGAGACACCTCTAGGCTTCATTTTTGTAGGCCTACCCCCAAAAAACAGACTTAAAATAAAATAATTGTTATTCAAAGGTATGACAATTATTGCTAACACTGTATATGTACAATGAGATGATTTCATGACTACGTATTACAGCAGATGATACCTTTTGGTATATTGTACAATTTTACACTCTTCTCTCACTCAATGGAGTTTAGACCTAGTCCTGTGACTGGATGAGCACATAGAAACTGGAAAGAAATTGAACTTTATTGATCTCATAATCATGCCTTTAAACAATCCTTGGGGAGCAATGGGCTGCCACTGTGCAGCGCCCGGGGAGCAGTGGGGTGATAAGGGTCTTGCCCAGAGCCTCAGAGTGCTGGCTGTGGGGGATCAAACCGGGTCCTGGTGTTTCAAAGAATAAGATAAACAATAAACATATAACATTCAGTATTTAGGCAACAAAGAATTAGGTGGAATGAACACTCTTCAAAATACATCTTTTGAGTTTTAAAACTTACAAAATCTATAGTTTCTGTAGAGTTTTTTTTAAATTACACGATAGTGTATTTTAGTCAACCTCCAAATATCACAGCAGACTCAGAAGTAGCCAGAAAGTTTACTCAAATAAGAGTAGTGATACTCTTTCATATTTTTTTGCCACGTAGAAAGCACAATGCTGTAAAAGTGCTCCTAAAAGCACATTCTTTTTAAAAAGTTACTCAAGTAAATGTAATTGAGTAAATATAACTAGTTACTATCCACCTCTGGTTATATTTCGATTTTACAATGGAGCAGATGGACCACATCCATTAGGATGGAATCCATTCTGCTACAGTAATAAACCTGTTTCAGGAAGCCACTTGTGAGTTCTAATGCCTCTAGGGAGTTAAATGTTCAGCATGTTAAATGTGCCCATTTTATTTATGTGGTTTGATCCCTGTGGGTTACTTTTAAGAGTTAACAACGTGCTTTAGAGGGTATTAATAAAATTTATAAAATAAATTAATCTCTTAAATTGAAAGACAGAGGATTAATTTTTATGCTACAAAGAGAAATCTAGTTTTCCCTCATCAAGTAGGATCGGTAAATGTTGGCTATGGAGGATTATCTCTCTATATTCATAGTGGTTAATCACCAGTGGTGGGTGGTCAGGGCCCTCAAGGCCTTCCCTTTTGGCCTAAAATCAATCAGAAACACAAACCTTGATTGTGGTTCTCTCTCACATTATTAAACATGTACATAATTTAAATGATAACAAATACAATGAAATATGTTAAACATAAAGAATCCCCTCTGAACAGAGATATAAAACTATCATTTAAAGGCAGATTAACATACTGTCAGACTTGCCACTTTGTGTCAGACAGTAACTATAATACAATTTAAATGATATATAATCTCTGTCCTGCTTTTCTCCTTGAATCCCAGTCGGCCTCAGCAGATGGCCGCTCACACTGAGCCTGGTTCTGCTTTCAGGTTTCTCCCTGTTGAAAGGGAGTTTTTCCTCTCCACTGTCGCTAAATTATGCTTGTTGTGAGGGATTGCCTTGGAGTCAATGAGTCGATACAATCAACAGGTTTTCCTTAGATAGAAAACTTTGATTGAGTTTGACTGTATGATCTGGTTGAATTGTCTCTGTAAAGTGCCTTGAGATGACATGTGTTGTGAATTGGCGCTATATAAATAAACTGAATTGAACAGACGCCACAGACCCTTCAAAAGGCCTTTATTATGCAAATTAATTTCTTGTAAGCTTTTGACTTTCCGTAAAAATTCAAAAAATATCCACTGGACTTGGTTTTCAAGATTTGAAGACGTTTCGCCACCTCTCCAGGAAGCTTTCTCAATTCAAAATTTTAGAATTTTTTAATTGAGAAAGCTTCCTGGAGAGGTGGCGAAACGTCTTCAAATCTTGAAAACCAAGTCCAGTGGATATTTTTTGAATTTTTACGGAATGACTATGACCTGGATGACTGAGAACCTTCATCAGCATAAGCTTTTGACAGTAATAATGCTACCATTTCATCATTATCTTGCCCAAAAGGATGTTTCTCTTAATTTGTGCATGTCTAAATAGTTCTTGCCAATTCTTCTCTCTAAGCAGTAGTCCCTGAAACATAAGTGCTTATCACCATCAGTTCTTACCTGTCCTCTCCAGTAAGTAACTACCTAGTTTTAAAGACCCAGATTCCACATTAAGTTCCTCTGTGAACCAGCCCTGCTTGGTATCAGGATTTAATGATTTTATACAACATCTCTGGCACATTTGAGCTGAGAGGTGTCATGGTGTGTCCTGTTTTCATGGATGCTCACACATCTGCTATATGAAACTAGGACTAATTATGTGTGCTGTAATGTGTTTTTATGGCAGAGGCAGAATATCAGCGATATTTCGTTCCATTAGATTAAAAATTAGGTCAGTTTTTCCTTAGCAGAGAAATTCCTGTTATGCTGGTGACGGGGGTTCGAATTATGACAGAAATAGTGGTGTACTGTTATTCTGTTTGTTCTTCACGTTATAATCAGGCAAGGGTAGCGTATGCTCTGTTACATAAAAATTCCCAACTGAGTGTGACCAGGACCTTTCTAGATAGCTTTCTTGTTGCTTTATCTGACATAACTCTATTGTTTTAATGATGTGTGAATCTTTGGGCTTTCATTGCCTCTGCTTTGCCGTTTCCTTGCTCAAATTTCCCCGCTGTTGGACATTAAAGGATCTTCTATTTTATTCTATGTTTGTTACACTTAATTAATACAAATGTTAAAGAGATCATATGTGATGCAGGCCACGTTAGAATGAAATCAGAACATGGAAGCCATTATTATGCATTAAATCTAATGATATTGCAGCAGGAACTGAATTGCTTTTCTGTTGAATATGTTAAGATCAATAACATATTCCTTCATTATTATTTTAAGTTCCACAGGGGAGGAATGCATACCTTGAGGCTCCTTATTTCCTTCTGCCATCATGATGGATCGTGTTTTCTGTGTTCTTCTTATGGTGCGTATCCTTGGACGTTCAGCCAACTCCTTTGGTTCCTGCCTTTCATTACTGGACTAACGGATTGATCCGGATGCGTCTGTCCAGCTGAATGTGTTCCGGTTTCTCTTCTTTACATCTTGATATTCTCCATGGCAGCATCTGTGACAACAAAAACTACAGGAAAAAAATATCTGCGTGTTTATACACTGCATTGAAACTTATTATCTTATAAATATTTACAATTAACATCCATCTTAAATGTGAGAAGTCCAGTAAGAAGCTGTTTTTTTTTAGTATAACCACTGGGAGAAACACGATTAAAGTTTCTGACTTGGAAGTCAGAGATACTGACTTCTGAGAACAAAATAGTATGTAACCTGGCTTATGTTTAAATCAGCGCTGATTTGATTCAGAGTTGATTCAGAGTTCTGGAACTATAAATCCTGAATATCACAAAGCAGAATTACTTTCAGAACATTTAACCCTCTTTCTGAAACAGCTTCCTGATGCCTGTTTATACCTAAGAGTTTTCTGGGAATCACATAAAAGAGCCTAACCTTGAAAAGAATATATAGTAAAGCAATGGATAAGACTGTTGAGAAAAAAATCTCACGAGAATATGGATTTGATTCTTCTGCTATTTGTTTAATGAAAGAATAAATAAATGAATTAATAACTTTATTTCAGACAATCCACTAAAATTATTGCAAAGTGTCGACCAGCATGTCATATCTTGTAAATCATACACCAGCAGCATTGTCCTTGATCAAAGTGCAGCCAGTGTATTAAAGCAAGATAAGACAAATAGCAATTCACACTTCCAAGATAAAGCTTGACTATATAATGATGCAGAAACGTCATAGTATAGACAATACATCTTTTCCACACAACCTTCTACATCTCCAAACACTGCTATTGAAACCAGGGTCTTCCAAAACCTTCAACGCCTCCATACTTACTAATCAATCTCCTATTTCACTGTGACTTCAATTAGTGAAAAAAAGCTAAGTAAGATCTAAGTGTATTTGCACTGGATTTGAATAGGAAAGAAAAGTTATCGGCCAATGGAATAAGATGGGGTTAAATAATAATACATAAATAATCCATAATCTTAATATAAGTATGATTATCTTAGAGGCTAATATATTAATTCTATTGGCAGATATGTTTACTCAGAAGATCAGATGTAGGACAAATTTACTTGTTTCAATA